TGTTTTTGTGTGTGTGTGTGTGTGTGTGTGTGTGTGTGTGTGTGTGTGTGTGTGTGTGTGTGGGTGTGTGTGGGTGTGGTGATTATAAATGGGGTTACGGGTCCAAGCTGTGGGCCGACCGTAGTAGTAATTTGTACTTTTACTTGTTCATAAACAAATATACATCATTGTGTACAATAAAAGTGCATTTGCTACACCACTGTGATAAAGCTTTGCTAATTTTAGCTGCATAAATCCGGGTTTGACACTTTATAGTACAGTTGTTTGATTTTATCTATCTGAAATATACTTTTGACGTTGTCTAGGGGGAAACATGAAACTTTGCTTATTACCTGTAGGTAATACAATACAATAGGAAAATTACATAGCTGCTTTTGTAAACCTCATGAAAGATGAGGAATACTTTGGCGAAGCCCAAGGAACCATTGGGAGTGCTCCTCACTGCTCCTCTAGGCCACGACCAACCAATAATGTATTTAACATAAAAAAAAAAAAACTGCTTACAAAACTCAGTAACAGTCCTACACACTAATAAAACATATTGTAAGAACTTACAGGTACTTTTTGGTTAAGTTTCACCGTGGAATGACCTGAAAATATATATAGAGAGAGAAGGGAAATAATAAAGACACAACCACTGCTGTTCACGTCCAATTTGTTTTTGAGGCAATATAGGAAATCCGCCACGCAAACCATTAGATGGCAGCACCTCGCAACTGAAAGTTCCCTTTCCAGAGTTTCCTACGTTACAAAATTCAGGAAAGCACTATATATTTACATATTAATGTGCGTAAAAAGGGGGTAAAATACTGGCCAAAATTGAAATGGAGAAAAATTACTAATTAATAACTGAAAACAATGTGGTCACATTTTAGATTTAGAGTGCCACATATGTGCAATCAACTTCTGCAACAAGATAACAAAGTTTTAGCAAGTTTGGGTTCAAACCATCATGTCATCATCCAGTAGTTTGCTTTGCTTTTTTTCAGGTTTGATCATATGATGTTCCAAATAAAGTAGCTTCTGTTAAATATGATAAAAGCTGACTGTAGCATGCTAAAGTTTATTTTGATGAAATGTACAACCATTTTAAATGTAATGAAGACTCAGCAAAGGTAATCTAGCTTTTCCAAAAAAGCGGAGTGTCAAAAAAGGTAGTGTCTGAATGTTTGTTTATAAACGTTAACATTAGCTTTATTTATTTTGGATTATCTTATTTTTTTCTTCATTTATTTTAAGGAAAAAATGTCAACCTTTTAATTAAAAAAATGTAAGATGTGTTTTTTTTAATACATCTAACATACTACATAAGTCGACGTTAGACTACACAAATGTAGCCCAATTTTGAGCCCACAGATGTGTCGCAGACAAACGTACCGTGAAGTAGCTGATTTTGAGTTGTCTTGATGCATCATAGCCTGTGCAGTGTGACATGCTCAATGTTTGTTCGTGAGGTGTCTGGGAAGGAATGGGCCCATGATCTCTTTTCTTTTTTTCAGTCCAAGACACAGAGCAATATTTATCTGGTAGTCTTGGCAGCGTGACCATGGTTAACGGAAAAACAAAGTCATGTCCGTGTTTTATGTGATGTGTTGTTTTTATTATTTTACTTTATGATAACTGTTTTGTTAAGCGCTTTGTTACAGCTGCAGCTGTTGTGAAAGCGCTATATAAATCAGGATGTATTGTATTGTATTGTATGTCATTTGACAAGGCCATTCCATGCACATCCACATGTAGTCTGTGAAAGGTTAACCTTTATTGGAGGACAACGTTCACAGCCTGTCTTGTTTATCAAGTACAAGTAGAGTGCCGTTAGAAAACATTTGCCCCCTTCCTGATATCTGTGTTCTTTGCATATTTATCACACACAAAGGTTTCAGTTCATTAAACAAATTTTAATATCACAGAGAGACAACCCAAGAAAAAAAAAGTAGTTTCAATTTATTTAAACACACAAATATGTGTCTCTATGTGAAAAAGCAATTGCCGCCTGAACCTAACAATGGGTTGTGCCACCTTTGGGCAGCAATAACTGAAATCAGTCGTTTGCGAGAATTGGTGATGAGTCTTTCACATTGCTCTGGAGTAATTGTGGCTGCTCTTCTTCACAGAATTGCTTCAACTCTGCCATATTGGTGGGTTTTCTAGCATGAACTGCCCGCTTTAGGTCATACCACATCATCTCAATTGGATTCAAATCTGGACTTTGACTTGGCCACTCCAAAACTTAATTTCGTCCATTCAGAGGTGACTTGCTGCTGTGCTTGGGATCAGTGTCATGCTGCATGGTTCTAGAGCGTTTGAGTTTGAGGGCACACACTGATTGTCCGACGTTCTCCTTCAGGAGTTCTTGGTAGACAGCAGAATTCATTGTCCCATCAATCAAAACAAGTTTTTCTGGTCCTTAGGAAGAACTCCTGTGCCATTTTTACCCTAGACCTAATGCGCCGCACATCTTCCAAAAAATTACATTTTTGACACATCAGACACAGAATGCTTTTCCAAATGTCTTGAGGATCATCAAGATGTCTTTTGGAAAATGTGAGACAAGCCATAGTGTTCTTTTTGGACTGCAATGATTTTGCCTGAGAACTCTCCCATGGATGCCATTTTTGGCCACTGTCTTTCTGATGCTAGAGTTGTGAACGCTGACCTGAACTGACTGGAGTTCTAGGTTCTTTTCTGACTTCTTGGATGAGTCGTCGTCGCACTCTTGGAGTAATTTCAGCTGGTCAACCACTCCTGGGAATGTTTGCCACTGATACCAGTTTTCTCTGTTTGTGGAAAATGGCTCTGACAGTGTTTCGCTGGAGCCTTGGAAATGGCTTTGGAACGTTTTACAGACTGATAGATTTCAATAGCTTTTTTTCTAATTTCTTCTTGAATTTCTTTGGATCGCGGCATGATGCATTTGTTTCTTGAGATCTTGTCGCCACTTTACTTTTTCTGATTCTTACTTCTGTGATTTCTTGATTCAACAAATGTGATCATAGGGTGTTGCCTGTGAAATTGAACTCAGCTTTCCCAAAACTGTCATTAGTCACACATGACTTTGTGAGTGAACATGGTGGTATTTACTTTTTCACATAGGGACAGGTAGTGTTGGATTTTTTTTTTTATGCCTGAATAAAATTGGCATTTAGAAACTGCATTATGCATTTCCTTGGGTAGTCTCTGTGTGATGTTAAAATTGGTTTGATCAAAAGAAATCCTTGTGTGTGATAAATCCTCTTTGATTTGCTGTGAAAAACGGCATCACTAAAATATTTAAAATCACATCAACTCCCCGTCAGGGAATCGAACCTCTGTATTCCACGTGACAGGCAGAGATACAGTCCACTATACTAAGGAGGAGCAGGCTCTTTAAAGAAGCTCTACCCTCCAAAACACAGGCCATGCTATCAGTTAGCTTGTATGACAGCCTTAACATGAAAAACTCCTAAGGCACCTGTTTCCATATTGTAGTGGTTATCATGTTTATCTAGCTGGCAAAAGGTCCCCAGTTCGAAACTGGGTGGAAACAATCTCTCATCCTTTTTGATTTGCTGTGAAAAACTGCATCACCAAGATAATTAAAATCTCATCAACTCCCCGTCAGGGAATCGATCCCTGGTCTTCCGCTTGACAGAAGGAGGTACTGTGCACTAAATTAACGAGGAACACAAGGTTGAAAGAAACTCTACCCACCAAAACTCCGGCCATGCTATCGGTTAGCTGGGATGACAGCCTTGATATGAAACACTTTCGTACCATTTATAGTACTTCCATAGTGTAGTGGTTATCACGTTCGTCTCACACACAAAAGGTCCCCAGTTTGAAACTGGGTGGAAACAATCTCTCATCCCTTTTGATTTGCTGTGAAAAACTGCATCACCAAAATATATAAAATCACATCAACTCCCCATCAAGGAATCGAACCCCGGTCTTCCGCGTGACAGGCGAGATACTGTCCATTATAATAACGAGGAACACAGGCTTTAAAGAAGCTCTACTCACCAAAACACCAGTCATGCTTTAAGTTAGCTGGGTTGACACCGCTGATATGAATAATTTCTTCACTGCACTGTACTCAGTGGTATAGTACACTTTTAACAGAATTTTGTCACACCCAACATTGGAGCAAATGATGACATTTGTGTGAATGCCAAGAAGCATATTTCAAAAACCCAACCAACGTTTGTCTCAAAAATGTTTGAGCCTGAAGCTTACTCATAACTCAAGTGCTTGTGCTATGTGTTTTGTTTCTGCTTTTCAGGTCATCAAGTGTAAGGCAGCAGTGGCCTGGGAATCAAACAAGCCTTTGACAATTGAAGAGATTGAGGTCGAGCCGCCGCAGGCCAATCAGGTCCGAGTCAAGGTGAGAAAAGGGGGATTCCACCTTATTAATGTGTTGTACATTCAATCATAACTTACATTACTCAAATTACTAAAATTCAGGATGAACCTCATATGCATTAGAATATACGATTCAAAGTGAACTTTTACCTTTTAACTTTTACACATGGACAACACGTCGGTATTTTTTCCACAACTCTCTGCAAAATTCACAACAGGTGCTTCATCCATGACTCAACACATTTCCAACAACGTCCTCTTCTATGCCTGTCTGTGACTGTTTGAGTCAACATGGACGACAAGCCTGTCTTATTAAATCATAATGTGTGACACTGGTACATGAAGGTTAATGCAAGATGACAGGATTCAAGTTATTAATTATGGTGTTGGGGGAATGTCAAGGAGACTCAAACAGAATAACATGAATTCTATCCATTATGTAGTGCTGATTCGACTCTGGGTAATAGGCGAGCTGGAACTTATTTCAGGTGACTTTGGGTGAAATGCGGAATACACCCCAGACTCATTTATGTAAGACATTAGGAATAGGTTAAGCAAGGTATTTATATTTCTGAAGCACATCTCAGACAAGGCATTTCAAGGTCCGTAACACATGGCATAAAAGGCATCATGAGAAAATGTAAAAACAAAATGTGGTAATCTGAAGCAAAAACCGACATTTAAAGCCCCAAATGCTATTAAAAAAAGGTTATAGGAGGTTGGTTGAAAATGTAAATCCATATTAAAACAGTAGGAGCAGCACGGTGGTCGAGTGATAAACACGTCGGGCTCACAGTGCAGAGGTGCTACAGCCTTCCTGTGTGGAGTTTGCATGTTCTCCCCGTGCGTGCGTGGGTTTTCTCCGGGTACTCCTGTTTCCTCCAACATTCCAAAAACATGCATGGTAGGTTAATGGAACACATTAAATCGTCCCTATTGTGAACGTGGATGGTTGTTCGTCTCTGTGTGCCCTGCGATTGGCTCACAAACAGTTCAGTGTGTACCCCGCCAACTGCCTAAAGACAGCTGGGATGGGCTCCAGGACGCCCGTGACAATCATAGGGTGTGCGGATTAGAAAATGGATGGATTTATGGATTAAAACAATGATATAAGACGGGTAAAGAAAAGTTACAGTGCAGAGTGAGTATAAATTTGATCTACTAAATGTAATCGGTGAATGGAAAAGTCTTTAGTCCTAATTTGAAAGAACAGAGTTGGCGCAAATCTGTATCCTGTGAGTTTGTTCTTGAAATGTGGTGCCTCCCCATGTCTGGCTTGAACGATTACAGAAAGTATTTCTGTCCAAGATGACCTGAGAATTCTGGATGGTTCATTATCTTAGGGACAAATCAGAAATGTATTTAGTCTTGAAAACATACTGTGGTGTTTACACCAACAGAGAAATAACGAGCTGCTTAAGTTATGTTGTCACAGCTCCAATGACTGTTCTTCCACACTGTATAATTACCATACTTGGTATGCCAGTTGCATAGAGAATAACAACCGGAGCTGCAGAAAGATGAACTGCATGAACCAAACATCTTTGAAAGATGCTGCCTTTGCTGTGCAAACACCATCGAGCAGGGTGAAACAACCTTTGCACTACAGGCTGTATCTGCACCCATCTGCCAGGTGCAAGAGGGCACACATAGCCCACAGGACTAGGATACGGAACAGTTTTTTTTTTTCTCCACCATCACAAAACGGAAGAAGCAGCCCCAACTTACACACAAGCCAAAGTAACTGCACTGTCCTAAATTAAATTCATAACCACCACAACAATCGATATGTTGTGTATGGTTTTATTACCGTAACATCCATCCCATAAATCACACACACCCGTGTATAATACAACTCCCTCCAAAATCATCCTTAAAAAGCTTTTTTTTTTTTTACTCTGTACTTGTATATGAAATGGTCCCACGATTTGCTGGTATCCGTTAGTATCAGAGAGAATAAGAATGAAAGATTCAAAATATCCCAAGAAAGTGTCAATGCTTTTAAATCCAGGTTATAAATTATGCTCTTTTCCCATCTTTGATGAAGGTCCTTCAAAGTCAGAATGATCAATCATCATTCATCAAACGTCATTCTCTTTCGCTTTCTGGAATCCAAAACATTATTTGGTTCGGTTCAGAACCTGACAGGTGCAGAATATGGTCCACTCTGACTCAATGTCCCCGACCTTGCCCCGGGACATAGGCGAAGTTCTGCCATAGGTGGAAGTTGAATCTCTTTCTGACAGGGGATTCTGCCATATGTTCCCAGCAAACCCTCACAATATGTTTGGGTCTGCCATGTTGGACCGGCATCTTCCCACTGTAACGGAGCCAACACACCAGCAGGTGTTGATAAGATCACAGTTTCGCCCCTCTCTTCACCCGAGTGTCCAGAACATGCAGCCACAAATCTGATGACATGACCACAAAATCGATCATCGAACTTAAGCCTCGGGTGTCCTGGTCCCAAGTGCACATATGGACACTCTTATAATTGAACATTGTATTAATTATGGACAATCTCTGACCAGCACAGTCTAGTCACAAAGCAACACTCGGATTCTGATCGAGGGGGGCATTCCTCCCAATCACGCCCTTCTGGGTCTCACTATAATTGTCTGTCTGAGCATTGAAATCTCCCAGCAGAACGAAGGAGCTCTAAAGCAAACCTTCCAAGGACACCGACAGGGTGGGTACTCGTAGTTGCTGTTTGGTGCACAGGCACGAATAAGTCAGAACCTGTCCTTCACACCCGCAGGTAGAAGGAGGCTACCCTCTCATCCACTGAGGTAAACCCCAATGTACAGGTGCCATGGGGCAATAAGTATGCCCACGCCAACACTGCACCTCTCATCGTCAGCAACTTCAGACTGCAAAAGAATCCAACTTCTCTTGAGTGGACTGATACCAGAGCCCAAGCTGTGTGTGGAGGCGAGTCGGACTATATCTAGTCGGAATTTCTCTGCCTTACGCACCAGCATGGGCTCGTTTCCTGCCAGAGAGGTGGCATGCCATGTCCCTCGATTTAGCTTCTGTAACCGGGGATCAGAACGCCATTATTGAAATGAATGTGCGACTATCACCAAGCACTTAATCGGGTGTTTTCACTGACAAGTCTTTCTCTTTGGAACAGATCGTGGCAACAGGTGTCTGCCGTACCGACCTCTTCTACCTGTATGAAACGGAGAATAAAGACCTCTTCCCAATGGTGCTTGGCCATGAGGGTGCAGGCATTGTGGAGAGTGTTGGTCCTGGAGTCACTGAATTTCAGCCAGGTCAGTCTGGAATGATCCTAGACCTAATATTTATTTCAAAATATGAGGGAATTTGATACCACACTTGAGTTTGTTCATTTGTGTCACTTCAGCACTGTTTTTGTCTTTTAGGCGACAAAGTTGTCCCTCTGATCGTCTCCCAGTGTAGAGAATGTCGCTTCTGTAAGAGTCCCAGAACTAACCAGTGTGAAAAAGCATGGTGAGCTCCACAAGCAACCACCCTCTCCTCCTAAATGTAGATCCTAAATGGGTTCAAGGAAGATAATTGATCTTTGCCTCTTGAATGCCTCCCCTTCACTTTCCTAAGACCATGTTGGTCATGGACAATCATATCTCTACTTTCTAGGTAATATAGAAATCTCACGAACATGCTCTCCAGCAGCTTACATGTTTGATGCCAAAACAATGGGCTCGCAAAGTGTTAGCTGACTAGCATCCTTCCCATACATGCATCCCACGGCACAATGGTCATGTCATAAAATGCCGCTGTCGGAACCAAGGGTGCGTAGCCATACACGCATACCTGCACATCACAGTGCTCCTTCTCTTGAACTGGGGGTGATAATGGTCGGTCTATACTCAGCAAAAAAAGGATCCCAGAGCAGACTCACTTCCAAATGTAAAAAGCAAGTTTATTAAATAGCTTAGAATCTTCACAACAAAAAGATGCATGCGCTATGCGACAAAAGGTTGATGTAAAAAAAAAAAAAAATAAACTAAAACATCCTCTCACACAAGAACCGAAAGAGATGGCCAACTAACAGAAAAGAAGAGTAAACAAAACAATACCAACGATAGGAACCAAACTAAATGTACGGAAGTGGAGATAAAACCCAGAAGCATAAAATTAAAATGGAGCCCCAATCTGGAAATGTGATAAAATGGAAATAACATGGAAATAAGTACGGTAATGTGAATGCTGAAGTCTCACACCAGCACACTGCCGCAGCTGCCTCAACTCTCAAAAGCTTCCGATTTGGAACAAGCGACAGGTGTGTTGCTATTGGAGGCAAACATTCAAAACAGCAGGGGTCCCCAACCACCGGTCCGCGGACCGGTACTGGTCCACCGGGCATTTGGTGCCAGGCCGCACAGAAAGAACTTGCCTTAATTCCGTTTTATTTATTTCGGAATACGAAAGATGTTTTATTTTGAAAAACTACCGGATTCTCCGTTACATCCGTCTGTGTCACGCTTGACACACGTCAAGCTACGCTTCTCCATCACGTGACCGATTACTTAAAAACAAAACGCAGGAGCTTGCAAAATGAGTAAAAAAAACTGCTGGAGATCGCAAATGACGGCGGCCTTAAAAGTACGTTCGAGACAACTGGATTAAAGTTATGGCTGAATATTCTGAGATCGCCACAGTAGCACTGTTGCTATTTCCGACATGCTACCTGTGTGAGGCGGGGGTTTTCTGCAGCAACGGCGACTAAAACAAAATTACGAAGTAGACTGGACATAAACCACACACTTGAGGTGTCATTGTCTCCTATTACCCCGAGATGGGACTGTCTGGTTGCAGAAAATCAAGCTCGGGGCTGTGGTGAGTCGTCACTTTCGTGCACTTTGAATTTGCGTTTTATCATATTTTGAAGGCATTAAACATGACCATAGCGATCAGAGTGTTGCGGCCAGATTAGACACTCCTTGTGTTTATTATTATATTTCGAAAACACCACAGTTTTCATGCAGCTCGTACCATATTATTTTGTTGTATTATTTCCGCCACACCTTAAATGCCGGTCCCTGAAAATATTGTCAGACATAAACCGGTCCGTGGGGCAAAAAAGGTTGGGGACCCCTGCAATACAGCATCTCAATCAGGGTACAGTGAACAAAAACGGTAGAAGACTCATTTTGTGAGATAAGTGATTGCTCATTGCGTATTGCCAAAAGGCGGAAAGTTGAATCCAGTGACGAGATAAGGAGCTCTTTCCATGTTCTGAACTATAAAATAATGCAGGAGAAAATAATGAAGTGAATATTTCATGAACATTTTTAAAATATATTACAACTTGAAACCAACCACAAAGATGCTTTGAATAGACCAGATGTCGGCACAAGGACTTTTGTTTGTAGATTCGAATATGAATACGCTTTGAGCAAAGGCACCATATTTTCTGGATTATAAGTCACCAGCCATAAAATGCATAATAAAGAAGAAAAAAAACCCTAGAAGTCGCACTGGAGTAAAAGTCAAATTTTGGGGGTAAATTTATTTCCTAAAATCCAACACCAAGAACATCTTGAAAGGCAAATAAAAATACAGAACAACAGGCTGAATAAATTACAACCTGCGCGACGTATCTTACATGACGCAAATGAACGGAGAACATGCCTGGTATGCTCATGTAACATATTAAGAGTTATTTGGATAACTACAGCATAAAGAACATGTTAACAAGTTTACTAAACCATGAGTGTCACTCCAAATCACTAAATCCAATGAAATCTTCAGTTTCGGTGTCACCTTTAAAGAACTCTGCGAACTCCCTTGGTCGGGGGTCAGCAACACGCGACTCTTTAGCGCCCACGAGTGGCTCCCTAGAGCTTTTTCAAAAATTTTTGAAAATGGAAAAAGATGGTAGGAAATGTATTTTCTTTTTTGTTTTAATATGGTTTCTGTCAGAGGACAAACATGACACAAACATTATTAACGTTTTCCAATGCTGTAAAAAAAGTGTCAAATAAATATTAAATGTCAACATTTCGTCAATGAATATTTGCGTCATAGCCTGCGACACACGTTTCTATTAGCAGTGCTGGATGGCAGTCAAGGGGCTGTTGAATAAAAAAAATAATAAAAATAATTATTAAAAAGAAAGCCTGCGACACACGTTTCTATTAGCAGTGCTGGATGTCAGTCAGGGGGCTGTTGAATAAAAAAAAATAATAAAAATAATTATTTAAAAAAAAACCCCAGCTGCCTTTAATGTACAGTTCACCGAGGGTACTTGCTTAGAATGGGAATCTGGGCGGCCAAGAGAAACATTTTTAAATGGTACAACGTAAGCTACGATAGTTAGCACTCTGTGAAAGTGCGTCCCGTGCCTCGTTCATCTTAGCGGCCGTTATGGCTGTTGATTATTACGGAATGCGTGTGTAAGTGTGTGCGTATGCGCGTGTACACGTGAGCTACGATAATTAGCACTCTTCTAAAGTGTGTCCCGTGCCTCGTTCATCTTAGCGGCCGTTATGGCTGTTGATTATTACGGAATGCGTGTGTAAGTGTGTGCGTATGCGCGCGTGTGCGCTAACGCGTCGATTGCGGGAGGTTGGTTGTTCGAAAAGTAGATTTGCCGTCAAAAAAGTTTGGGCACCCGTGGGAAAAAAAACGTAATCATGAATGCTCGTTGTGGATTTGTAGCCAACTTAGTCATGTTGATAGCAGGCTAATATAGCTCATATCGATACATACAGCATGTGTTGCCTTCATTAGAAGGCTTTTTATTTTTTGCGGCTCCAGACATATTTGTTTTTTGTTTATTTTGGTCCAATATGGCTCTTTCGACATTTTGGGTGGCCGACCCCTGCCCGAGGTAGATGTTGCGGCGCTTCTTCTACATCGCTCACGTCAGAGTCATCGTCAGTCGTTTTTATGAGTACAGGTACCGCCAACGTAGAAAGTCTCAACACAGGCTCGAGCACCCTCTTGCATTTTAATGTGAAAATAACATGTGAAATGATATAATGTGTTTTTCATTTAACACACAAACCACTCAAGGGTATAAATCGCACCCCCGGCCAAGCTATGAAAAAATTGCGATTTATAACCCGCAAAATACGGTAATCCTTAAATCCAGAATCCAGAATATTGACACCAACACTTTCATCTTGTCTAGGGATGTTGTTCCTCACAACGTGAGTACAGCACCCACCTCCAAGTTAAACTGCAGGGGAAAGAAGCTGCTGCAGTTCATGGGAATCAGTACCTTCTCACAGTACAGTGTGGTTAATCAGATTGCTCTGGCCAAGATTGATCCCGCTGCCCCTTTGGAGAAAGTCTGTCTTCTTGGCTGCGGTATCTGCACAGGATTTGGAGCGGCAGTCAATAATGCTCAGGTGTGAGGAGACAATCTCGCGCATTTTTATCTTTGCATTAGAATTGAATTGTGACATTTTTGAAAGAAAGAAAAGATGGAAACATATGGAAAAGGACCAGCAAAAAAGCCTGTGTGGTTGGAATCAACTTTGCATCACTTTCATCCATTTCAGGTCCTCTCCATAATATACCACACCACACATCAGTACAGAAACACATGACCTCAATAATAGATGACAAAAAAGACTGGCTATATACAATGCACTGCTTGTAGTTGCTTCCAACTTTCAAACTGCCACCTTCAATTCATCAAATAAGTGAATTGATTGGGTCATTTTATTAAACGCACTCATGTTATCTTAAAACCCGAAAGGGGTGTACATAGACTGCAGTGTGTATCGTTCCACGTTGCGAGCATAATTAATGACCTATAAGCTTGATAGATGGTACTTTTAGTGAAAAAAAAAGAAATATCGTGCTTGAACACATTCCCTCCCGTTTACAAAGTGTCATTGCACAGACCCCACGCAGCAGATATGTGACCAATGAATGGCGGCCGCGGTGAACTGCGGGGTTCGCGCCACGAACACAGTCAACGAATGAAAAATCAAGACACGAAGAACAAGACACAGCAAAACTGAAAAGAAATACACATTACCTGTAGCAAAGTATGGCAGCAGCAGAGCCGCATTCATTCTCGTATCTGCGCAACAAACAAGCATTTGCCAATCAACTTCACACACAAAAAGCTTCAATTTACAAAACGTCACTCTAACAATGACACAGAAAACAATGTGGCTCAGAACAATTAAGGGAACTACTTGAGCACACCACATAGCAGTATAAGAATTGAAAAAAAAAATTTGTATATGTATGTATTTTTTCCAGGTTGAGCCAGACTCCACTTGTGCTGTATTCGGTTTAGGAGCTGTGGGCTTGGCTGCAATCATGGGTTGCAAATATGCTGGTGCCAAAAGAATTATCGCTGTGGATATCAACGCAGACAAGTTTGAGAAAGCCACCGAGTTTGGAGCCACCGACTTTGTAAACCCAAAGGATCACGACAAACCAATTAGCAAAGTGCTCTCCGAGATGACTAATGGTGGAGTTGACTTCTCCCTGGAATGTGTGGGGGATGTAAAACTTATGGTGAGGAACATTTTCTTCAAGAATGACAATTTTGAAATGCTTTGCGAAACAATCCGTGCCCTTTCCTGTCTAGCGTTCTGCATTGGAGTCCTGCGTACCTGCCTGGGGAGTAAGTGTGATCGTTGGCTGGACTGACAAGGAAGACTTCTGTGCTCGTCCGACTGATCTCATTAGTGGACGCACATGGAAGGGCTCCATATTTGGAGGTAAATGAGCTGAGGGATTCTGCTGGTGGACAGCAGATGGCAGTATGTTAATTTCATATGTCTATTTTACTCATTCATTCATTTTCCGAATTGCTTTATCCTCACGAGGGTCGCGCGGGGTGCTGGAGCTTACCCTAGCTGTCTTCGGGCAGTAGCCGGGGGACACCCTGAATCGGTTGCCAGCCAATCGCAGGGCACACACAGACAACCATCCACACCCACACTCACATCTCGGGACAATTTTTGAGTGTTCAATCAGCCTGCCATGCATGTTTTTGGAATGTGGGAGGAAACCGGAGTACCCGGAGAAAACCCACGCCGGCACGGGGAGAACATGCAAACTCCACACAGGGAGGCCAGAGCTGGAATTGAACCCGGTACCTCTCCACTGTGAAGTCGATGTGCTAACCACTGGACTACCGGGCCGCCGTCTATTTTGCTAAATTTACGAAATCCACCTGGGCTCGGGGCGGCTGTTGCCGCATCAGAAACTTGCCTCGGCTAAAATTCAGCATCTAGGCTTTTACTTGATATTCTAAAATATATTTATACATTACTTTCTCAGCCTCCCTATATATCAGCCAAGCCCCGCTTTAGACCCGGGAGAGAAATTGGCTGGCGATCAGTGGTATGGTAGAGCTGGACCCTGCATCTCACCCAAAAACAGATGGCATAGGATCGAGCATGGTCACAACCTGAGTGAGGAGAAGCAGCTAGGGGAATGTATGAACTGTATGTAGGTGTTAGAGCGTTGACTCTCATCTAATTTCCACATTCACTTTAATGAACAAATTCCGATTCCACCTTGAATGAATTATACATTTGATGAAATACACGTCATAATCCAACTGAATGAAAAATCCAACTTGATCAAAATGGTAAATGGGATGCAATTATATAGCACTCTATTTTCATGGTACGCAGTCTAATGTGGGCGGCCCGGTGGTCCAGTAATTTGCGTGTCGACCTCACAGCTCCGGCCTCCCTGTGTGGAGTTTGCATGTTCTCCCGAGGCCTGTGTGGGTTTTCTCCGGGTTCTCCAGTTTCCTCCCACATTCCAAAAACATGCATGGCAGGTTAATGGAAAACTCGAAATTGACCCAAGGTGTGAGTGTGAGCTTGGATGGTTGCTCGTCTGTGTGTGCCCTGCGACTGGCTGGCAACCGGTTCAGGGTGTCCCCCGCCTACTGCCCAAAGACGGCTGGGATAGGCTCCAGCACCCCCCGCGACCCTTGTGAGGATAAGCGGATCGGAAAATGGATGGATTTATTTATTTATTCATTTATTTTATCTTAATTGGTGTCATGCATAAGTTTGAGCCTTTTCTAATTATTATCAAAAACTAAAAATATGACCTTGAGATACTGAATGGAGTTAAATAAAACTAAATGAAGTCCAATAGTATTTTTTATCTTTAATTTAGTTTCAGTGTGTTTGTCCAATGTGGTTTACAAAGTCTCATATTCGCCTATTTGAACATATACAGTATCAGAGTGCAGCCTACATTAGGCCGTTGATGCAGCTTGTCAACCTACGGAAAGGTTTTCCTTTTTAGTTCAAAATAACATACTTTAACCTCCAGGATCCCTAATTATGACCTGGCCAAGGGCATATTGCTTTTTGCCTTTGGTCCTATTTTAGGTCCATCCTGTTGCGTTGCACTGGCCTCGTCCTCGCTTGTGCTAAAATAGTTCATCTCTCACGTCCAGCATCTTAAATTTGCAAACTCCTTCTTTTGTTGTTAGGGTGGTGTGAGAGGTCAATTGCAAAGTAACGACAAAGGTCTTGATAAACTGCTTAGCTGGGTTTTACTGACTGACTGCTTAACATTTAAATTTAATGCCTATTACCTTTTGCGTGTCGCACTTGAACATCGTGCACTTTCACACGCTGCATAAGCCTTCCCTACATATTACATCACACATACCGAGACATGAGTGTTGCCATTCAAACATTCCCCTGTGATAGCACATGCGACAATATGCTATGACTATAATGTACTATCCCCCAAAATTCTAACCTGGGCGTTTGTTTTCAATGGCCAATTTGAAACAAACAATTTGTGCACAGCCCTAGTATGTATGATTTCCACCCATCCATCCATTTTCAACACCGCATGTTCTGAACAGGGTTGCAGAAGTTATTGCAGCCTTTCCCAGCTAACTTCGGGCGGAAGGCAGACTGGTCGCCAGTCAGTCGCAGGGCACATATAGAGACAAACAACCATTCGCACCCGCATTCACAACGTCACTGAATGGGAAACAATCCCACGCTGCCCACACGCAGGTTCGGCGTGTGTACCGCGACACCATCAGCGATTGTATGATTTGAAATGGTGATTTAATTTTTAAAAGTACATTATACGAGAGTCGTTCTGTCCATTGGACTTTGGTGCAAAAATTATTTTACCTGCAAATTCTGTTGAGCAATAAGTAGAAGTATTTGTTTAATGTTACCAGAAGAAACAACTCTAAATTGTTTCATTCACTATATTGACACTTTTGGAAGAAATGACATGCACTTCATTTGTGAAGTACAGTGAACAAAACTATAAATATAACATTTTTGTTTTTGCTCCCATTTTTTTGTGAGCAGGACTCAGAGATCTAAAAGTTTTTTGACATACACAAAAGGCCATTGCCCTCAAATATTGTTCACAAATCTGTAGAAATCAGTGTTTGGGAGCATTTCTCCTTTCTCAAGATCATCTATTCCACCTTGCACATGTGGCATGTCAAGATGCTGATTAGAAAAAATGATTATTACACAAGGCGGCTCAGTGAATACTGGTTAGCGCGTCGGCCTCAGGGATGCAGGGTTCGATTCCGGCCCTCCTGTGTGGAGTTTGCATGTTCTCCCCGGGCCTCTGTGGGTTTTCTCCGGGTACTCCAGGTTCCTTCCACATTCCAAAGGCAAGTTAATGGAAGACTTCTAAATTGTTCCTAAGTGTGATTGTGAGCATGAATGATTGCTCGTCTTTGTGTGCCCTGTGATCGGCTGGCAACCGGTTCAAGGGTGTCCCCCGCCTACTGCCCAAAGACAGCTGGGATAGGCTCCAGCACACCCCGCGACCCTTGTGAGGAGAAGCAGATCAGAAAATGGATGGATGGATGAATGGATTATTCCATCGGTGTGCATAGGCTAGCCACATTTAAAGGCTACTTTGAAATGTTCAATTTTATCACCATAGCACAACGCCACAGATGTCACAAGTTTTGAGGGCGTCTGAAATTGGCATCCTAACTGCAGAATTGTGCACCAGAGCTGAGGCCTGTGAATTGAATGTGTATCCTCAGTCAGATCCTGCTGACCGATAGGAATATCGGGAAAGTCCTGGCAGACTCGCCATTCAAAGGGTCATCGGAGCGGACAGGAATTTTCCTAAACCGGTGTTAGAGGGACTCCTTTAAGTTGTCACTGCCTCGGTTTTAAGAAGTTGGCCCTTTTTTAACTCCAGTCGGCCATGATTGGCGCTACATTTAAAGGCAGTCATTTGGTTTAGCTGGCTTGGGTGAGGGGTTCAGAAAATCCTGAGAGTTTTCGTGTAAGGGCCTTTTCTGTTTTGGTTTTACTTGGATAATCCCTCATTCCAATATGAGGGCATAAAAAATAAAATCAGACACCTTCAGCATTTGAGGCAGCTGACAAATGCTGACGGAACCTTCAGCATTTGAACTCTCCTTTTTATTCGCACTTGTATTTTAACTTTTTTTTTTTTTTGCAATTTCTAAATCAGGCTTTAAGGGTAAAGACGGCGTGGCTGAAATGGTTCAAGCCTACATGAACAAGAAAATAAAGCTGGATGAGTTCATCACTCACAACATGCCCTTGGATCACATCAATGAAGCCATTGAACTGCTGAAGCAGGGTAAAAGGTATAAAACACTCCAACTATTCAATTATTACAGTAATTAATGACTAACAATGTTAAAAAGTAAGTTTGTCTTCTCCTTCTGTTCACAGTATCCGAACTGTCCTGAGTGTTAGTCCACAGTAACTCAATTGTTCAAGGAATTTATCTTGTCATACCAACACAGACTTCCACAATTTTAATGGTTTCTGTATTTTTAATGAGATGATACGTCAAGACTTCATGATGAATCGGCACACTCGAACATCACGCATTAATGAATGCAAAGAAGGACTTTGAAACAATGCGGACAACGCCAAGGGATTACTTTTTGTGCCCATTTTGAAACATGTTCACAGGAGATCAAGTTCAGCGTGTCATAGCATCCGTGGATAAAAATAAATGAAAGATTGGAGACTTCCCAGTGTTCTGGTTGTGTTTTGTCCCATATTCTCAAATATTTTCCTTTTCGACAGCAGAACCAATACTGTTTAGGACAGAGGTGAACCGCGACCAAAATATAAAAATACAAAAACGGCCCAGGCATTTTCGGCCTTGACAGGCTCCTCATAATTAGCAGAGCAAAACCAATTGTGAATTCATGTACGTTTTCCCTGAAGAAATGTAATATACAATTATTCAAAATTATTATGGTGAGGTGAAAAACGTTGTACACAATGTAAAGGAATATATGAGCTATTTTCTTCCTCTCAACTGTTGCTTCAACAGTGTGGCCTGAACTAGACACAGAGAGCGAGAGCTGATTATAATTCATCAAGTGTTACATTGAAAACACACTGAAACTAAATTAAAGATAAAAAATACTATTGGACTTCATTTAGTTTTATTTAACTCCATTCAATATCTCAAGGTCATATTTTTAGTGTTTGATAATAATTAGAAAATGCTCAAAGTTATGCATGACACCAATCAAGATAAAAAAAATAAATGAATAAAAAAATAAATCCATCGATTTTCCAATCCACTTTATCCTCACAAGGGTCGCGGGGTTGCTGGAGCCTATCCCAGCCGTCTTCAGGCAGTAGGCGGGGGACACCCTGAACCGGATGCCAGCCAGTCGCAGGGCACACACAGATGAGCAACCATCCAAGCTCACACTCACACCTTGGGTCAATTTCAAGTTTTCCATTAACCTGCCATGCATGTTTTTAGAATGTGTGACGAAACCGGAGTACCCGGAGAAAACCCACGCAGGCCCGCGCAGAACATGCAAACTCCACACAGGAAGGCCGGCGCCGGGATTGAACCTACGACCTTTGAACTGTGAGGTCAACGCACCACTGGACCACTGGGCTGCCCTAAATAAATAAATACATACATACATTTTGAAAAAAACGGGGCGACCAGAATTGGCTTCAGTCATGCATATACTAAATTAAAAATTAAAATGTTGGATTTAATTATGACTTCTACCACATAGGACTGCAAAAAAAAAAAAAAAAAATCAGTATTGATATTTAAAAGTATTGGCAATGAATTTCAATAGCGTTTAGTTGTGTGTTGCATTTATTACGTCACACACCCGCTGTGTCAAACTTTTATTACATTAATTGGGCTGCATCGCATGTGCCAGAGTACACCTGAGTTGAGCGGTCACTGCACTCTCGTGTAACACAGCCCAGCAGTTGGGTCACAACAGAAGCCTTGCTCTGTTATGAAGTAAGGCAACGTAACATTAGTCTCTCTTTGTGCTTGATGTGTACTAAATTATACAGTTTGACAAGCATGAAAAGTTAATTAAATGGAAATTACCTTGTAAATGACATGGGACATCATGAGTGCAGGTCACTTGTTTCAACAAAAGCCATTTTTTAATCAGCTTGTATTCTTTTTTTTTAATTGCCCTCTAACTGTTCAATCTGTGGTCAATCTCTGCTTGTCCTATTTGGTTTATTGTTGATATTGGAATGTATTTGTATTGTAGCTGGCTAGAGGTCTGGTCTTCCACGTGTCAAAACTGTCAAAAGTCTTTCTGAACTGTTTCTGTACTGTCCAAAACAGTACAGTCGTTAACAGCGTCAAAACGTCAACGATGCAAAGCGAGAAGTGGTCCCAGGACTCCGCCAAGGCTGCCCTTCGTCACCGATTCTGTTCATTACCTTTATGGACAGAACTTCTAGGTGCAGCTGAGACAGTGAGGTGGTGCGCTTTGGTGGCCTCAGTATTGCATCTCTGCTTTTTGCAGATGATGTGGTACTGATGGCTTCTCCAAGCAGGGATCCTCAACTCTCACTGGAACAGTTCGCAGCCAAGTGTGAAGCGGTTGGGATGAAAATCAGCAGACTCTATTAACATATTTGACCAATAAATCTGATTTTGATTTATTCATGGCTGTAGGGCAAAACACTCTATGACCATAATTCCATCTTGCATCATGGTTACGTCAATGACATCTATTGAAATTCTCAGCCCTCATAGTAATGGTTGCATTAGCGTTCAATCGAACTTGTCTGATATTGTCGGTACATTATTTTGCTCCCAGCATGTGTAGGAGAGGGAAGGCAAGCCCTAAACCCCCCACCTGTTGCTGGTGTCACTTTGATGGAGGTCAAAGCTTGATGAAATGTCACTCGCCGCAGAAACTGACAGCTCTTCCCCCCAGGATGTTTAATTCACTTGGTCGCTCAGTAGCTTGCTCACGGAGCACACGTCTGCGAAGCCTGTGGATACTGCACAGCAGGCGCCTTTGAATGGGTTGTTTACAGAAAGGCCAGAGGACCATGTACAGCACACTGTAGTCAAGAAGGTCAACACCCTTCAGTAATAGCAGTCACCTTATTAAATCAAGGCACAAAGAAAATGTAAAAATCATGTTTTTTTTCGGTAAATTTCATTATTCAAGATACAAGATGTTTATTTGTCATATACACAGTCAAACCAGAACCGCATCACTGAGCAATGAGGTTCTGACTTTCCTTTGTCTCCGGCTACCGGTAATTAATATAAGCGATACTGTATAGCAGTGGTCCCCAACTGTTTTTGCCCCACGGACCGGTTTAATGTCAGACAATATTTTCCGGGAGCGATCTTTAAGGTGTGACGGATAAATACAACAAAATAATATGATATGACCTGCATGAAAACTGGGATTTTCGTAACATCATAATAAACACGAATCGCGACACGAGAAACGTCCTATCTGACCTCAACACTCTCTGATAGCTAGGGTAACGTTTCTTCAAAATAAGATACACCGCAAATACAAAGCCCATAAAAAATACGACTCACCATTGCTGCATATTATGCAGAGTGGGCTTGGTGCGTGGGAATCTCCCGTTGGGATAAATCCGAATTTTAAATCAGACTCCTGATCCTGTCTCTTAAATGTAGCCTTCTTTTTCTTAAAAGTGGTAGGCTTCTCTTCTGTCTCCCGGCTGGGCCTTTTCCCCTTCCCAAAGACATTTTTTTTTTTTAAAACTCATTTTGCTCGCTTCTGGGTTTCATTTTAGTTGTAACCTATCACGTGACGGAGAAGCGCGCCCTGACCTGCGCCAAGAGTGATATACTGTAGACCAGGGGTGTCAAACTCATTTATGGCGCAGGCCACATTTTAGTTACCGTTTCATTTGGAGGGCCGATATGACTGAAACCATATAAAGAAGTCAAGACTAACTGTTGATTCAACTCCTGTTTAAGTTACTATCATGAGGGGTTTGGTAACAAGAAAATGCTTCGAATCTATCTCTTATTTTACATATGAGAATTTAACATTTTGGTTGACATTTTAGAAAGGATCGTGGAAGTTGACAGGTGCTTTCGCGGGCCACGTGAAATGATGTGGTGGGCCAGATTTGGCCCGCGGGCCTTGAGTTTGACACCTGTGCTGTAGACAGATGTAACAGAGAATCGGGTAAATTTTCAAAATAAAAACCTCTCAGATTCTGAAATAAATAAAACGGAGGTCATGTAAGTTATTTATTCTTTCTGTGCGGCCCGGTACCAAATGACGCAGGGACCGAGAGCGGTCCGCGGCCCGGGGGTTGGGGACCGTTGCTGTGTAGTATAACATGGTTTGAATATGCATGTGTAAAATTGTGTATTTTGTGCCCTGCGCTTGGCTAACTAGCAATCGAGGATATCCATAAACTCTGGATAATATTGTCTAGTATAATTGACCCAATCTGTACATTTTGTGCTTGTGACTATCCAGATGCTTGAGTTGCATAATTCAAATCACGTAGGCAAGTTAGACAACAATGCCAGCCTTATTCACATGCTCGTCACCTTCCGTCTTAATTACTGCTGGCCTACCGCACAAATACATCCGTAAATTGCAATTGAACCACCCCAACTGTTTTTGCCCCACGGACCGGTTTAATGTCAGACAATATTTTCCGGGAGCGATCTTTAAGGTGTGACGGATAAATACAACAAAATAATATGATATGACCTGCATGAAAACTGGGATTTTCGTAACATCATAATAAACACGAATCGCGACACGAGAAACGTCCTATCTGACCTCAACACTCTCTGATAGCTAGGGTAACGTTTCTTCAAAATAAGATACACCGCAAATACAAAGCCCATAAAAAATACGACTCACCATTGCTGCATATTATGCAGAGTGGGCTTGGTGCGTGGGAATCTCCCGTTGGGATAAATCCGAATTTTAAATCAGACTCCTGATCCTGTCTCTTAAATGTAGCCTTCTTTTTCTTAAAAGTGGTAGGCTTCTCTTCTGTCTCCCGGCTGGGCCTTTTCCCCTTCCCAAAGACATTTTTTTTTTTTAAAACTCATTTTGCTCGCTTCTGGGTTTCATTTTAGTTGTAACCTATCACGTGACGGAGAAGCGCGCCCTGACCTGCGCCAAGAGTGATATACTGTAGACCAGGGGTGTCAAACTCATTTATGGCGCAGGCCACATTTTAGTTACCGTTTCATTTGGAGGGCCGATATGACTGAAACCATATAAAGAAGTCAAGACTAACTGTTGATTCAACTCCTGTTTAAGTTACTATCATGAGGGGTTTGGTAACAAGAAAATGCTTCGAATCTATCTCTTATTTTACATATGAGAATTTAACATTTTGGTTGACATTTTAGAAAGGATCGTGGAAGTTGACAGGTGCTTTCGCGGGCCACGTGAAATGATGTGGTGGGCCAGATTTGGCCCGCGGGCCTTGAGTTTGACACCTGTGCTGTAGACAGATGTAACAGAGAATCGGGTAAATTTTCAAAATAAAAACCTCTCAGATTCTGAAATAAATAAAACGGAGGTCATGTAAGTTATTTATTCTTTCTGTGCGGCCCGGTACCAAATGACGCAGGGACCGAGAGCGGTCCGCGGCCCGGGGGTTGGGGACCGTTGCTGTGTAGTATAACATGGTTTGAATATGCATGTGTAAAATTGTGTATTTTGTGCCCTGCGCTTGGCTAACTAGCAATCGAGGATATCCATAAACTCTGGATAATATTGTCTAGTATAATTGACCCAATCTGTACATTTTGTGCTTGTGACTATCCAGATGCTTGAGTTGCATAATTCAAATCACGTAGGCAAGTTAGACAACAATGCCAGCCTTATTCACATGCTCGTCACCTTCCGTCTTAATTACTGCTGGCCTACCGCACAAATACATCCGTAAATTGCAATTGAACCAAAACTCTGCCACCCGCATTCTGACAAGATCTCCTCACACCTGTTCGACAGCACCTTCACTGGCTGTTCATTCATTACACACAGCATTTTTTCCGAGATCATCGTCCTTCTATTCAAAGGCACGAAACATCTCGAATCACGACTTAAAACACGCCTTTTGAAACAGGCATCCCCAGTTTGGTTTCTTTCATCTCCTTTATTGTTTTTGACTACTTTGTCACTCCTTGCAGTTTTCTTAAAAGTGTATTTAATTTTACATTGTCCTTTTTATCTTGTTCGATGACTTTGACTGACATGAAAGGTGCCCCTAAAAAATGCATTCTCATAATTATCATGAATCGTGGTGCACTGCTTTGATGAGGCAATGGTGATGAAAGTCAAAGCATGTACCTCGAGAGAAAAAGAATATGTATATTTATAATGCAATGTACGGCTTGTCACGACTGTATTAATGTGACCCACTTTCATGCTATAATAGGTCAAAAATACACATGTGCATGTAGGCTATCGTTTATTCATCTCCCTTCATGCATTAAGGATTTAGCCCATCAAAGGAAATGTAGCTCAGACCACAAGTTGTTTTGTTGACGGAAACCTACTGAGGTTCGATTGTACTCAACTGCAAAGGATTTATTTTCACCATGGGATTAGTTGGTCCAGATAATGCACTTCATACATGTAAAAAAAAAAAAAAAAAGTTTGCCGATACTGTATTCATCTTTTCCATATATATATATTTTTTTAACTGGGCCATACTTATTACTTATCTTTCAAGTGAGTGCAAAAAGGTTAACCTTGACACATACCAGCATTTATTACTTCTGGCAATCAGTAGCCCTCTAATATATTGGGATAAATTTGAAAAATTGAACAGATATCTGCAGCTTTGTGACCGTGGTTATTTTTGACCTAGGCCACTGCGGATAAGAAACACAGCTTGCTGGGTACAATTATATTCCAAAAGTATCTCATTTTCGATTGTGCGCTATTATGTTTGCACACATCAACCCATGCATGCGTGTTCAAAATGTCCACTGGCTTAGAAAGTTTTGTAACTGTCTACATTTTTTTTCTCCTGTAGTGGTGTGTACTCAAGAGTGTTTAATACTGAAAAAGTACTTGTGAACCTCAAAATTGGTGAATTTGACCTGCAGAAACACAGGAGGATAAAAACCAAAAGTTAAAAATATCCGTTCACAATTCTCAGTACAACTAGGAATCCTAAAAAGAACTTTTAAATATTTGTTTCAGCTGTTTTAAAGTTCAAGCAGATATTGTGCCCCCTGCTGACCATTTCAGGAGTCACCCTTCATAGCTACTGTCAATATCACCTGAATCCATTATTACTTATCTGAGCCTGATGACTGCACAAATTACTTCTTCATAAATATTTTAATGTTTCCTTTGGCAAAACAAAAACACATTTCATTATCAAATCAATCCACACGTAACAAATTCAAGTATGTCCATTTAATTTGAGGGCTGATATTTAATTGAAAGAACATGAGAGCCACCTTGAGCAGTATTCTCTTGTTTCAACGTGCGAGTGAGTACAAGAAACCCAGAAAAGCTGGATGCCAACACGTCCGCTGAGTCCAGTCCTCCGTGCGCATGAGCTCCAGTCCAGCCTACATTTGGCTCAGAAAATGAGCCCGACCGTTGTCTTCGAGGCGGCGGGTAAGGATATCGCAGCCCGTGTCTGTGACCAGAAGGGTGTGTTCAAACTGAGCGGAGCGCTTTCCGTCTCTGGTGACTGCTGTCCAGCCGTCGGGCCAGGTCTCGTCTTGCCAGCCGCCTGAGATAAAGAATGCACAAGGTGTTGGGCACAACACAGCTAAGACAAAGATTCATCAAGCCAGAGCTGTGCCATTTTCGGGAAAAAAAAAAAACGAAGTGCAATTTTTCAGACAGATATCACAATTTTGATTCATTTCAGGATTTTACACACACACACACACACACACACACACACACACACACACACACACACACACTGATACCTCTACTTCCGCATCTCTTCAACACACACACACACACACACACACACACACACACACACACACACACAATGGTACCTCTACTTCCGAACATCTCTTCATACAAAATTGTCAAGTTATGGAACGCCTCAACAGGAAAATATTGTCTCTTGTTACAAAAGAAATTTCAAGATATGAAAGGTAAAAAATACAGTATGAGCTGCTATTTGCAGCTCAGTTTCCTGAACGCAACATACTTATAGCTGCTCTGCCTTTGGCTATTCCCGAGCATCATCCTGGCATCCCATTGGCTAAGAGGGATTTCTACTAAATGTGTCGATGTGTGTAGTTGGATAGATGTATGTCTATGCAGCGTCCTCGTCATTCGGCCCATGAGGCATTCCGATAGTTTTACGTAAATGTGAATTACTCAGAAAAAGTGTTCACATGTCAGGCGATTGCTCATGACGCTGATGTTTGCCTTGGATATTTTCAAAGGATTGTTGAAAGCCGACAAAAGCAAATGTCCTTGGATCAGTTCTTTACAAAACGCCAGGCAAAAAACACTTCTGAGAGAGAAAATGGACTCAAGAGGGCAAAAAACGGTGAGGACGCAGTAAAGTTAAATAACCATCATTTTTATTCTTTACTCTCTTTGTTGTTTATTACATTATGCACAACTCTCATTTACTGTGCAATCAGCTAATTGTAACATGCATTTGTTACATTATATGATACATTTTGATGCTTTCGGAAACATTTATGTCAGAATTTTTTTGGGGGGGGCTTGGAATGAATTAGGGCATTTACATGGAAAACGCATCTCTACTTAGAAAATCTTCTAGTTAAGAAACTTCTTGCAGAACCAATTAATTTCATAAATAGAGGTACCACTGTATTCAGTTGGACAGTTCTATGGGACATCATTTGAGAATTATTTTGAAGAACTCCCAACAGTTGCCATGTGAATGTGAATGGTTGTCTATATGTGCCCTTCAAAAGACTCGCGACCTGTTTAGAGTCTAACCAGCTGGAACGGGCTCCAGCCCATTAAAAAAAATTTTTTTTTAAATAGATGGATGAATGAAGGGTTAAATATTGTCACATTCATTTTCGTTATTAATATTATACATATTTGCTATGTGTGATTACAAGAAGTTATGTCATAGTCATGAAGACTCACCTTCACATATCATGGGTTCAATGGTAAACACATGACCTGGCTTCATAACACCGACTGCTTTGTTTTCTGGGGAGAAAAAAAATATACAGAATTCAGAAACAATTTCTCATATAACTTGAAAAGTGAGCCAATATTTTCTTAACTGTCAGAGCGACTTACTGGCATAATGTGGCACATTTGGAGCAGTGTGGAAAAGCCTGTGGATGCCGTGGCCGCAGTAGCTCCGCACCACAGAGAAGCCATTGGCCTGAGCATGCTTCTGGATGATATTACCAAGCTCTCTGTAGCGAACGCCGGGCTTCACTGAAAGGACAACGTGAGCAACAATGTCAGTTAGCAAACACACATCTGATACATTCCAAAATGGAACGATATGAAAGCACAATCAGCGTGCAGTTGCTTGTCCTAGATAGAATGAGAAGTGTTTAACCCGGGGGTCGGCAACACGCGGCTCCAGAGCCGCATGCTGCTCTTTAGCGACATCTAGTGGCTCAATGGAGCTTTATAAAAAAATGTTTGAAAATGGAAAAAGATTTTGATAGTAGGCTAATAAAGCTCAAATAGATATAGATACATGTTGCAGCTCCGAAAAAGGAGAGCTGTGGTGTTGGTTTTTAAAAACGTACACTTTATTTACCGGTATGCTTTTAAAAGTCTCGACAAACACAGACACGTCTGCCTCCGACTCCGTGCCTTCTCTCTTCTCGTTCAAGTCGAGAGGCGTTCAAAGACAGCCTCCGAAAAACGGAAATTCATGATGACTTCACTGACACTAAGAAAAGCGAAAATAATGCACCAAAACAAAAAATCAAGCGAGGAAATCACAAAATAAATTTTATGAGGGCGTTTGTGAACACACAACAAAGGAATGAATAACAAAACAATTCTGAGACAGTCCAGTCTCCTACATACATACAGCATGTGTTTCCTTCATTGTAAGTTTTATAGGTTTTTATTTTTTTGCGGCTCCAGACATTTTTGCTTTTTTTGGCCGATATGGCTCTTTCAACATTTTGGGTTGCCGACCCCTGGTCGAACCAATGTGTGATAAACCTCACAAATTAAACAAAACACAGTTACGGTAACTTTTGGCCCGAGCTGAAATACCCATCATAAGAATCAAACTGTGACCTACACACCTGGACAAATTTGTCAGGGCACTCTGTTGATCAAAGAAACACCCACAATGGTAAGTGAAATCACGAAATACTCACATAAGTAATAAACAAATATGTACTGCAAATTAACCAATGAAAATCTGACATTGGTTTTGAATTGTGGTTCAACAGAATATTAAAAAAAAGAAAAAAAAAACAGGCTGAGACAAAAATGATGGTGCCCTTAACTTAATATTTTGTTGCTCAACCTTTTGATGCAATTACTGCGATCAAACAATTTTTGTACCTTTGCATTAGACTTTTGCACCTTTTTTCCTGACACCCGGAACCATGTTTAGTCACTGTGCATGTTTAACTGCACGGACATTTGTTGCAGAAACACACACTCAGTAAAATGGGATACGGCTGCCGTGGAGGAATACAAGCAGGATGTACTGTACATGACAACAAGTCACATTGTACTACTATGTGTAAAATTTGTTTTGGGATTATTTGACTTATGAGCAAATGTAAGACAACCTACCCACTACTTGGTAGAAAGCACTCTATGGTGTTTGGAGACGACACAATGTAGTGCATTCATTTTGGAAATGACGCTGAAACCCGTCCTGGTGCAAGTTAAAGCTAACTTAGCTTAGCATAGCTTTCTGCCTGCTGGCGAAGCATGTCTCTCATCCACATATCGCAAAGCAGTTATTGAGTGTGAGTGGAAAGTGACGGGATTCTTGTGGGAAATGTGTCTGAAAAATAAATAAAGAGCAGGAGAGCATGACAAGTCGCACCTGGATCTGTTATTTCTTTCTTGCTTTTTAATAAACCCTCCTCACGGCCATTGTCGGGGGCCATTGGAGCAGCTATTAACAGCTGTCCGCACACTTGAACTGGCGAAAGTGAGCATGATACCAGAATCTGGTTTATAAATGAAAATTAAGATGGAAACTTTATTGGGAGTGTATTGGTAATATAGCTCATATA